TGGGCAATTTGTGATTGCCAACAAAATAGTCCAATGGAATGCCACACAATTTGCAACATGGAGGTTTCATTGGATCTTGAAAGACTCCAGGTTTTAGCATTTCATTAACTTTAATGCATTGTACAGTAATTAAGTAAATGAATAGTGTACTATCAATGTGCAGCATTATATAAGTAGGAATATGTTGAGTAAGGAAGTTATATAATGCCGCACAGTCAGTCGTGAACGTTCTGGAATCATTGGATCGTAACACACTTGAGTATTTCTTATTTCATTCATTTATTACCTTTGTTCTTTTTTATAAAAATTATGTTCAACATTATTGTGATGGTTGCATTTATACTTGGTTAATAATTGAAAATGTGTTTTTCTCCAAGGCCAATAATGTGGAAAACGGAATGGATCACTAGTCTGCTTTTTCTGCCAGAAGTGCTTTGAGCTTGATGGACTTAAACTTTGTGTTACTGTTCATAATAACCGTGTGATTCGCTACAGAAATCCCGAAGACAATCATCATCTGGACTGCTTGCCAGTCCCTGATAAGTCAAGCAAATTCACGCAACTATGAAAACGGATATATGTTGTAGCATGCTCAAGAAACTTGTAATCAGCCTTGTAAACATGTATTTATTTAAACATCTCCCATATTCTTTGACTTATTATTTGAGGATCAAATGCGGCAACTTTTCAAGTATTTTTGTGAGTTATTGGCATCATCACAAGATAAATAATTTGCAAGCTCTTCAATTTAGGTTTAAAAACATTTATTATCTTATCTAATACACATCACAACAAATACAACGTACAATAACATGGTCTACAACACAACAAAATACAGACAAGCAAACAGAAACATGTGTACAACATTTACATCAAATAATGAACAATTAATCCCACCAATAAAAATTATTTTCCGTCAAACTTGTTCCATGCTTCTCGTTGTACTTCTCCAGTGATCCATACTTCTTCATTATAAAATTCCAAAAGTGCTCGTTTCCTCGTCTCTGAATCTCTGGCCAATTGTTTTCTTCTTGCATGTAATCCTTGTGCCGTTGTAACCTTTTTTCAATTGCAGCTTGGTATGTCTTGTAGTTCTCCTCATGGAAGTGCAGCATCATGATCCTTGCTTCTTTTTTCAAAAACTTCTCGCTTACTCCAAACATTTCTGTGGAATGAGTAAAACTCAATAATTTAAAACATTCAATTTAAATAGGTAATTAGCTGAAGATAGTACAAAATTTTTATGTCGTACCTTTAAATTCTTCTTCCAGCTTTGTGTACTGGGCATCATCCAATTCCTTGTAGGGGATGATTGTCACACGATCTTTTCCGTTCTTCTGGTTCCTTTGCTGTTGTATTAAGGCTTGCCACATGATGTACCCTTCCAAAATGTTTGCATCCTTTGGTATTTTCGGTGGTGCCATTTCTGAAAATGTATGGAATGATGGAATTTATTAAAACATGTGCAGGAAATTTTATTAATAATCAATACATATATACCTTATTCTTAGTAAAAGAAGAAATTTATCATAAATATAAAACGCACAATTATGATGATATATGGTAACAAAATGAAGAATTAATTAGCGATGCAACCTTTCATACCTTTCAGCATTTCTACTTTGTCTTCATCCGTGAAAACCCGGAATTTGCACTCCCAGTGGATATAAATGTTCCCAGAAAGACGCAGAAATACCATCTCCGTCTTGAATTTCGTGTCACCAACAATTTCACTGGCCATTGTATTTCTTGACTATTACGAGTTGTGCTTATTTCCACAATTTCTTATTCACTTGTGCGGATTTATTGAATACCTGCTGGTGACAAAGAGGAAGCAATAACATTATATTACGAATAAAATGATTCATTGCACATTAAATATAAGGTAACTGTTCACAATTCCAAAAGAACACCATGCGCTGAAAGATACATGTTAAGTGCTTTGTAACATGCGTATACGGCCTGCTTTTATACTGTTTTTCAGCGCGCAAATTTGCGCCCGCCCCCGCCATACAGGCTTTTGCTTTGATGCCCTCCAACAATGGAAAACAGGAAGATTCAAGAACCCTATAAAATGCACAGGATTTAAATTCTATGGAATTTCACATTGATAACAGGTATATTCTCAAGGTTGGGTAACTTTTCCAGATACAATTCCCATGAATATAAGAATACAACAAAAGAAGCCACAAGGATACACACTAATCAACCCACCTCCCCCTGATCCACCGTTACTAATCATACTTATTAACCATTCTCCACCAAGAACGCAAATCCGTTGACCATCAAGCTGCGGAATAAGGTGCGGAAAAATACAGCTTTCCCATCATGGTGGATGGGCTTGCCTTGTCTTGCTATATGACATCTTACTATATATTTCATATTACATGTATTGCATGTTATTGAATATTACGGCATATTATCCGCACTTCTCTTATTCATCCCATGTGGTAATGTTCACCATACCCCCTGACGTTCCCTTTGTATATGTTTCGTTTTTAAAGGAACGCCCTGGTAATGGTACGCTCTGAAACGTACCGCTTTTCATGATTTAATAAAATGCTCTTAAACATACCGCATTCCTTGTGGTAATGGGACTATCTGAAACATTTAGCATGAAAATATATTTGAAAAATGTTATCAGCGGGTAAGCTCCTTGATGTAAAACTTTTCATGCACACACACACACACACACACAAACAGATGAAGCTGATTGTATAAAGAGGTATACTTGACAGCATCCAATATACTTTTATGCAAAACACCAGCACAACACTGTAATAACCCCTATTGTAAAAATGAACAGTTCCGACTGAAATTAAAAAAGTTTACCCCTTAGTTTACCCCTATAGACAAAATATCATTGAAAAATGTTCACCTTACCCCCTGACGTTCCCTTTGTATATGTTTCGTTTTTAAAGGAACGCCCTGGTAATGGTACGCTCTGAAACGTACCGCTTTTCATGATTTAATGAAATGCTCTTAAACATACCGCATTCCTTGTGGTAATTGGACTATCTGAAACATTTAGCATGAAAATATCATTGAAAAATGTTATCAGCGGGCAGGCTTGAAATTGAACTTGTCATGCACACACACACACACAGACAGATGTCAGCATCCAAGTATGTGAATTCCACACAATCTTGAACATAACCCATCAATAAGGTTTTAGTGGACCTTCACTAAATTGTGGAGGTTTCAGAATCTCATATAATTTCATCCATTGGGATGCCATGTAATCAACGTACTCATGTAAGTTCACATTTTCTAAAAAAATATGTATTTCTTATGTCATCCGTATAATACATACGTACATCTAAGTAATACACAGAAAACACACGTATATAAAATAAACACTTCATACACATACACAGCATTTAATGCAAAAACCTTGAATGATGAACATCTCTAATTCATTGTCCAGGGATTAAACTTCAATCATAAGTTACATAAAATTTAGAATACACTAATCACTATCCTCAACATTGTTACAGCATGCATGACTGACATGTTCATGTTGGACACTTGAACTGCTGCTGGGTTCTATGAGTTGCTGTGCATTTATTAACTCTGGTTCACCAATGAATGCCTTTTTTTGCAGATCAAAGTCATTAAGATTCCTCATGATGATGTATGACAAGTTGTAGTCCTCTATCTTTAGAAATGTTTTGCCTGTAATTGGCCATTTTTGATTGTAATCCTCTTCAGATAGCATGACATTGTGATGTTTCACTAGACGAAGCAAGCCTGTCATTGAAGCCAAAGAAGGAGCATCTGTACATGCCCAATGACGTAGTACTTCAAGGAAGGTCCACTGCTTCCCACTTCCTTGATTTATTTCTTGTTGATTCAAGTGATTATTTGTGGAATTAATTCCTAATGAAACAAATCAACCAGAATTATTACGGAAGCTGGATGACATTAGTTTAAATTGTAAATTTACCTGTGAACAAGTGAGATGTTCCCCAGTTTTTGTCAAGATATGCTGCTGAAATTTCAAGGCATTCAGTTGGTAGCATCTGAACCTTGTCTCCTTCATCATGCACAAGAGGAGATTCTTCGGAATCTATATGCCCAGATGACGACTTTGTCCTGTCATGAAGTCCAACTCGATTGAAAAAAGCTTTTAAATCCCAAATTCTACTTTGAAGTAGGTTATCTTTAAGTTGACAACACACTGGTAAAGTGAAAGATTCTGGTTCTTTCTTCCATGCCTCCAGTTGAGCCTCTGCCAGTCTTCTCCTTTTTCTTGCATTGCTTCTATCAGTTACTATTAAACGATGCCGCGATGTGATTGTACGCACAATGCCACTCACTTCCCGATCAGTAAGGGTATAATCCCCGTTTTTTTTTCATCTGAAGTATATAGAAAAATGGAAAACAAATGGATTTTTTTTAAATAATAAATAAATACAGGTATTACACAACATACATTTGGACAGAAATGTAAACACTGTTGCCATGGGATGTGGTACATTTCAGAGCGTCCCACTACCACATTTAATGAAGTACATTGCAGAGCGTACCATTACCACTTGGGATGCGGTACGTTTCAGAGCGTCCCATTACCCATTACTCAAAGGTGAGCCACACATCACCGAGATATGAGGTAGCAATATTAATAACGTATGTGTGAAACCCTTAATAGGACTCCATTTAGTTGTACTGAACTTAACTTTCTGAAAACCGTATTAGGTAGGATATGGATTATATTACATGTATATGGCTACCAGTCCCCCAGCTCATTTGCTGTATCATGGGCATTTCCTATACATTGATAGGGCCCAGGGTATCACTGGTAACCACCCAGTTCTTTGTCGCTGGCTTTTAATTTCATAGTCCTATTAACATCACTTTTCCATACTCAGAGGCACAAATGTTTCCTTCTTGGAATATTCACAAACCTGGAACATAAAAGAAGTAAATGTCACTTTAGTTATACATGTATACATGATTTGAAACTCATAAATTTTCATGAAATAATTGACAATAACGCAAAGTGGAAAAAAGTTTATAAACATAACAAATTATTATTATATCAACACCTTACTTGGCATCATTACAAGCAACAACATCATCATCATCATAATCATCATCATCATCATCATTGTTATCATCATTATCATCATCATCATCATCGGAATCAGGAACATCATCATCATGCTCAGCACAACGTTTCCGCTTCCTTGATGTTTGAAACGTTATACCAAAATCCGCCGCTGTAATGCGGGGAAACATTTTGTTCTTGGTCCTGCTATTCGGTGCCCACACACTTTGGAACCATTTCACAGATGCTGCAATTCTTGCCAGTACACTGTTGTTCTCCAGATCCGTGAGGTGCATCATCCGGCGCTTGAAGTGATCCACAATTTTCTGCTTCACAGTTGGAAACGTAGGAATATTCTGTGATGCATCTTCATCCAAAATGCCCCTCCTGGCCAATTTGTACACCAATTCCACGTAATCTGTGTGTATAACAAGAAATTTGTTAAAACATGTGAAAGATAATACAAGATAATTCAATGATACTCACTGAACATAGCCTCAGTACGTTTTTCATGGAAGTCCGATTTCATGGGTTTCAGTCCAAAAATATTCCTCCTCAGTGGACATTGTAATTGCCTTGAAACTTGATGCAGGCCAAAACATTCTCCTACAAATGTCGTGAAATAAAGCCTTTGCTTCTTTTGAGGCTTTNCCAATTTCATGGGTTTCAGTCCAAAAATATTCCTCCTCAGTGGACTCGTAATTGCCTTGAAACTTGATGCAGGCCAAAACATTCTCCTACAAATGTCGTGAAATAAAGCCTTTGCTTCTTTTGAGGCTTTATCTAAATTATCCCATATTCCAGGAGACATTTTCACCATATTCTTTACATGTTCCACAAACAGATTGCGGTCATCAACACAAACTCACAATCCATGGGCAACATATACAACGGGAACTTTCACTCCCCCAAGCTTAGCATTTGTGTGGATCCGAAGCACATTGTCAATTTCCTTCTTCAGATGGAAGATGGACAGCAGGCGTCCACTCTTGAATTCTTCTAATGCTTCCTTGCTAGCACTTGGTGTTACTTTGTGGGGGAGTGGTCCCAATTTGACTTCCTTCCTTTGCTTCTTTTGAGGCTTTATCTAAATTATCCCATATTCTGGGAGACATTTTCACCATATTCTTTACATGTTCCACAAACAGATTGTGGTCATCAACACAAACACACAATCCATGGGCAACATATACAATGGGAACTTTCACTCCCCCAAGCTTAGCATTTGTGTGGATCTGAAGCACATTGTCAATTTCCTTCTTCAGATGGAAGATGGACAGCAGGCGTCCACTCTTGAATTCTTCTAATGCTTCCTTGCTAGCACTTGGTGTTACTTTGTGGGGGAGTAGTCCCAATTTGACTTCCTTCATGTCCCAATCGTCTTCCTTGTAGAAAACGTTGGCACCTTCACCTTTGAAGAGCTTGATGTAGAGTTCCATGCTTTGTGCATTGTGGGCCTCGTAGACTTGTTGGTATATCTTCTTTGCCCTTTGTATTCCTTGCTTATGCTCTTCTTCAGAAATTCCCTTGATTTTTTGGTTGGGCAGGTACTTGAAAATATCCTCAAAACTTCCACAAGTGTGTCTGTTGATGACACTTCTCAATTTCTTCAGTCAAGCATGTTGAGGAGGAGGAAGTGCATCCTTCAATTGTTCCAGTTCATTTAGGAATGGCACAATTTCTTCAGCAACAAAGTTGTTGGCATCAATCAAGAAGAGACTTTGTGTCGACTTCATTAACTTGAACTTGCTCGGTTCTTGAATCTCTGATGTTGACTCATAATCTTCATCCGAGCCTGCTGCCCTTTGTATCCCTTGCTTCTGCTCTTCTTCCGAAATTCCTTTCATTTTTTTGTTGGGCAGGTACTTGAAAATATTCTCAAAACTTCCACAAGTGTGTCTGTTGATGACACTTCTCAATTTCTTCATTTGAGCAAGTTGAGGAGGAGGAAGTGCGTCCTTCAATTTTTCCAGTTTGTTCAGGAATGGCACAATTTCTTCAGCGACGAAGTTGTTGGCATCAATCAAGAAGAGACTTTGTGTCGGCTTCATTAACTTGTACTTGCTTGGTTGAATCTCTGATGTTGACTCGTAATCTTCATCCGAGCCTGCTTCTGGAAGGAGTTGAAAAGTGAATGCAAGAATGTATAAAACGTAATACATGCGTTTGTCATGAATTATGAAATTAACAATAAAAGTAATAATTCTGTTAGTCAGTCTGGGATCCAAACTAAGTTCAAGTATTACACATAAATTTGTACATACATGTAAACACTAGGCATGAATGAAAGCCATATAATACTAATCGAGACGTATTGTATTGCTGGTGTAGCGTGAAATGTAGTCATGAGTTATGAGAGAGGGTTTAATGGAATGGTACACATTAGAGAATGATACCTTTTGAAATACCTTCTCATCCTTATAAAGTACTTTAAATACATAATGTTACATTCAGTTTCACATTATTCACTTCTATAGTAACATCTAAGTATTACTTCATATTGTTGTTAAATTTTTTTACCTGCTGCTTGTTGATTGGAGAGCAGCACTCTTGCTGGTGAGTTATCAGATGCTTGCACAAGGGATTCCTGTGGAGCGTTTCGATCAATGTCAGGTCCTTCAGACGTCACATCAGGAGAAGGGCATTCTGTTAAAAAATAAACATTCATCATGAGCATAATTGAAGCCCCTCATTGGAAGTATTCTGCTAGTTAGTCTGGGATCCATCCATCTTACTTTTAATACAATATATTAAATTTAATTAGTTCACAGTAAAGTTTCATTATTAGAATGTACAAACATTTGGTTCGAGGAATTAACTCAGTTATTGGAATTGTTACATTATGAATCGTGTGAGAAAGGTATTAATTATTCATAAACACATTTGAAATCCCATCTCATTATAATTAAGTACTTCAAATACAGAATTTAAACATATGCTTACCTGAAGAAAGGCTCATGTTGCAATCCGAATCTGGTGTTGTTGGGAGGCTGCAACTTGTTGTTGGTGAAGCATTCTGCCCAATTTCCATGTCTTCACTTTTGGATTGTAATCCTACTTGTCCTTTGTCTTTCAAGATGGGTACTTCCATCAGCCGAGTCATTTCTGTGGTACATCAAGTAAAAGTGATGTTAATAGGAATATGAAATTAAAAGCCAGCAACAAAGAACTGGGTGGTTACCAGTGATACCCTGGGCCCTATCAATGTATAGGAAATGCCCATAATACAGCAAATGAGCTGGGGGACTGGTAGCCATATACATGTAATATAATCCATATCCGTACCTAATACGGTTTTCAGAAAGGTAAGTTCAGTACAACTAAATGGAGTCCTATTACGTGTTTTACACATACGGTATTAATATTGCTACCTCATATCTTGGTGATGTGTGGCTCACCTTTGAGTAATGGGTAATGGTACGCTCTGAAACGTACCGCTTCCCATGGCGACAGTGTTTACATTTCTGTCCAAATGTATGCTGTTTAATACCTGTATTTATTTATTATTTAAAAAAAATCCATTTGTTTTCCTAAAAAGATATATGAAGTCTACTTTTTTTTGCCCCTAATATGGGAATGACTAGCCCTTCACTCACCGTAACACGCATGTTAGTGTAGCGCCGTAGCAAATTATCATTGACTATCTTCGTTACGTTCTAAAAGGAGAAGACTGGCAGAGGCTCAACTGGAGGCATGGAAGAAAGAACCAGAATCTTTAACTTTACCAGTGTGTTGTCAACTTAAAGATAACCTACTTCAAAGTGGAATTTGGGATTTAAAAGCTTTTTTCAATCGAGTTGGACTTCATGACAGGACGAAGTCGTCATCTGGGCATATAGATTCCGAAGAGTCTCCTCTTGTGAATGAAGAAGGAGACGAGGTTCAGATGCTACCAACTGAATGCCTTGAAATTTCAGCAGCATATCTTGATGAAAACTGGGGAACATCTCACTTGTTCACAGGTAAATTTACAATTTACACTAACGTCATCCAGCTTCCGTAATAATTCTGGTTAACTTGTATCATTAGGAATTAATTCCACAAATGATCACTTGAATCAACAAGAAATAAATCAAGGAAGTGGGAAGCAGTGGACCTTCCTTGAAGTACTACGTCATTGGGCATGTACAGATGCTCCTTCTTTGGCTTCAATGACAGGCTTGCTTCGTCTACTGAAACATCACAATGTCATGCTATCTGAAGAGGATTACAGTCGAAAATGGCCAATTACAGGCAAAACATTACTAAAGATAGAGGACTACAACTTGTCATACATCATCATGAGGAATCTTAATGACTTTGATCTGCAGAAAAAGGCATTCATTGGTGAACCGGAGTTAATAAATGCGCAGCAACTCATAGAACCCAGCAGCAGTTCAAGTGTCCAACATGAACATGTCAGTCATGCATGCTGTAACAATGTTGAGGATAGTGATTCTGATGCTGAAGAATACATTGAAAATCATCATGTGTCAATAAATGGGGATGGTTGTACGTCAAACAAATACACAACCATTATTGAAGTCAATGAGGACGATGAAGATGCTGGAAACGTTCAAATAAAGAAATTCATGATGGACGCATCACAGGATGCCGACAAAACTTCGAACCATAGAAACCAGAAAATGGCATACTTTGGAATTCAGAATGCTATCCTGGGACAATCCTGTGGTAAGTTATTGCAATTGACATTAAACTATATCCACGGAAGTGTATACACTTTTCACATTTGCTTGAACCACTCCTCATATACCTTGCAGGGCTCATTGATTCCAAAGGGCATGCACAAAATTTGCGGTTGATTGCTGCTATTGATGCTCATGCTTTGTCAGACAAGATACTGGAGAAGCTTACTGCCACAAATTCTTCTACAGGAGACGCCAAGAATGAGGCATCTCAACGTGGCTCATGTCCAACATTTGTCATTGACCTCTTCATAGATGCATGCCAGATATTCAACAACTCTAGTGCTCCTAGTGCTACACCGATTTTAGGTCGCCTAATTTGTGTGGATGGCCATTTAATTCCATCCAGAAAATCAAAACCATTCGTCATTGCTGTTTACCATGGAGAGGGAAAGCCAAACTTGGATGCTTTTCTTTTTGACTTAACAAATGAATTAAATTCACTGCACCCCAAGGCTCCTGCACTTGACAGGGTCATGACTGTTGTGGTTCGTGCATTAATCTGTGATGCCGTTGGTCGTTTCTGGATCAAACAAACAACGTCAAATGCAGGATACTTCTGCTGCGAACGGTGTATTTTGAAGTAAATATGCACAATGTTTGCCATATATTGTATTTAGATATATTTAAATTTTCAGCAGTAATGTTTGAACATACCTTTACATAATAGTCGGCAGTCAGGAAATGATGTGCATATATCCAATATACAAGTACATTGATTTTCATCTTATGATATTCAGTTCTGATATTCTTATGATTTTCATCTTTTGATATTCAAGGGGCGAGTACAAGCTGGACGCTAAACATTCAATTGTGCCTGGGTCTCTCCGATTCCTTTCAACTGGACAAGAATCTGAAAGAAGACCAGATGAATGGCATCAATACCGCCTTTCACCTGACGGTGTTGACAGGCATCAGAAGACAGGAAAAGCAATTAAGCGATTTCATAGAAGAGGCACAACTCCCTTGGACAACATCCTAGATTTCAGCCCTATCAGTAACATGCCACTGGAGGAAATGCATTTGTGCGATGGCGGAGCCATTCCAACAACATTGCGCCTACTCTTTGACGTTAAGCCAAAGAAAGAATTTTCAAAAAAGAAAGCGGTCAACAAGAAGACCATACTCCTGAATGGAAATAAGAAGCGCGCCTTTCGTTTCCAACGACCTGCATCTTTCCACACTGCAAGGAAAAGGCCCAAGCCTGACAGATTATTTTCATTGACAAGAAGTAACTCATCAGATTCTGATGATGACAGCATTTCAGCAAACATGAATGATGCTCAAGATCCTGATTACTCTAACACTACTTATACAGCAAGCACTGTTACCTCTGACCCTAATCCTTATTTAATTGATAAGAGGCGGTGGAACAGTCTTATTAGCCAATGGAGAATATTCACTCCCAAGATTTTCTCTCGTCAGTGCAGAACCTTCACCGCTATGCATTTCTGGAAAATGGCTGAGACAAGACAATTCTTTTTTTACTATGTCATTCCTTTAATATTCTTATCACCTTCTTTTACGAAAAGTAGATTTCATGATGTACTTCTCTACATTAAAGGTTACCTGCTAATCACAGGTAATACACATAAGCCTGTTAATCCTAATACAATTAAAGAGGCAGATTATTTACTAAAAACATTTGTGAGTAATATGCAAAAAAGGTCAAGGAATTGGTGTGTGTACAAATGTCATTCGTTGTCACACTTGGCCCAAGATGCACAAATGTTTCAATGTCACCTAGGCAGCATGTCTGCTTACCCATATGAGAATATGATGCGGTTATTTAGAAAGGTTAGTGTTTCTATGTTTGTAACATAGGTTGATGTTTCATGCATACTTAAACAAGAATGTTATCCTAATGCATTAATGTTACTCTTTGTTCTTGTTCTTATTGCAGTTTGGATCCAGAAGTGGCAAGCATGTTGTGCAGCAAATAGTGCGTCGGTTACTGGCAATGAAGATGTATAGACAGCCCACACGACTTAACGGCTGGGAACTTGATGATGACAACCTCTCCTACCAAGTGGAGCTACAAAGAGTACACGAAAATGGAAACAACACAGACTTACCTCCATTCTTTGTGAAACGTTATGATTCAAAGAAACAAGTTGTGGAGTGTGAAATTTTTACACTCTCCTTAAAGTGAGTTATTACATCATACAAAAATACAATTAAATATGTTACTATACAAGAATATTTGTTTCTTTCAGGTACCCCCTTTTGTAACATGCGAACGGGTACATACTACTCTTTGGTTGTCTTTGTGTCGTCCGTACGAAACCTCAGTATGTTTTAAAAATAGTTTTACTTCACTGACCCCTTAACTACTAACTCACACCCTAATTCAAGACAGTTATGTTGACTTTTCAGTTTCCATACCCATCTTCAGATATTGGAAATTTCCGCATTATTGGGGGCCATGACGCTATTAAACGGAAGCACTTTAGGTTTTCTGAAATAATTTCAACAGAAAAGGGAAAGGTATGGTTTGAAGTTCAATTCTTATTCTGTAGGTACCTATGTAGTTTACTTCTTGTCCTTACCTAGAAAGTCCTTTAAGTAAATACTACTTTCTTCCTACACGATATAAGGACATGTTGTGTATTCTAAATTTTATGTAACTTATGATTGAAGTTTAATCCCTGGACAATGAATTAGAGATGTTCATCATTCAAGGTTTTTGCATTAAATGCTGTGTATGTGTATGAAGTGTTTATTTTATATACGTGTGTTTTCTGTGTATTACTTAGATGTACGTATGTATTATACGGATGACATAAGAAATACATATTTTTTTGAAAATGTGAACTTACATATGTATGTTGATTACATGGCATCACAATGCATGAAATTATATGAGATTCTGAAACCTCCGCAATTTAGTGAAGGTCCACTAAAACCTTATTGACGTGTTATGTTCAAGATTGTGTGGAATTCACATGATTTGCTTATTCAACAGAATCCTACTTAACAAGTCCTGGACGGAGAGTGTACTTGGTATTATACAGTATATAGACATTGGATGCTGACATCTGTCTGTGTGTGTGTGTGTGCATGAAAAGTTCAATTTCAAGGAGCCTGCCCGCTGATTACATTTTTCAAATATATTTTGATGATAAATGTTTCAGATAGTCCCATTACCACAAGGAATGCGGTATGTTTAAGAGCGTCCTATTAAATCATGAAATGCGGTACTTTTCAGAGCGTACCATTATCAGGGTGTTGGTATCGAAACAAAACATATACAAAGGGAACGTCAGGGGGTGTGGTGAACATTTTTCAATGATATTTTGATGCTAAACGTTTCAGATAGTCCCATTAACACAAGGAATGCGGTACGTTTCAGAGCGTACCATTACCGGGGCATTTGTATCAAAACAAAACATATACAAAGGGAACGTCAGGGGGTGTGGTGAACATTTTTCAATGATATTTTGATGCTAAACGTTTCAGATAGTCCCATTACCACAAGGAATGCAGTACGTTTCAGAGCGTCCCATTAACACATATAATGCGGTACGTTTCAGAGCGTCCCATTACCCTGGCGGTCATATTGCAATGGATCGTTGCAAGGGAAAGTCTGGGGTGACCATCATTCCTTTCATGCGCGTGCTGGAAGCTCTTCTTGTACCGGTGCGTTCTTATCTCAAGGCCAAAAGTCCCAATGGAAAATTGGTGGGTGTATATAGTGACCATCCTTCATTTCATGCGCGCGCGGGGGTTAATTGCGAATTATCCATGGTGATGGAAAAAAGTATCAGGGTTTTGAAGAATTTGAAGCCCCAGTTTGAATAAGTGTATACTTGGTGCTTATTTTCCCAGAGTATATTTTCCTAGTAAATATCATTCCACTTACAATTCTCTGCTCATAGGACCTACTCTTGGTTTAATATTGTGGTTTAATATTATTGCTTGGAGTTAATATCATGCGCTGCTTGCAGAAACTCGTTCAACTAGCGGAATTGGCATTGGTAATTAATCTTAGCTTTGCAAATTAAATTTGTTTCTGATAATTTGCTTTTATAATTTTACAGCTTATATAAGACGACTGAAGATCGAAGATGTACTGGACTGAATACATCCAACCTGTGTGGGCGCACATGCTGGCGCAGACCCACTGCAGACAAAGCATGAAGTTTTTGCACATCGTCAACGCAGATGAAAATCTACCTGAGTGGTTTCCAGATCAAGAATGGCATCTCTTTAATTTTGTATGTCAAAATCCGGAGTGTGATACTCCGATAAACTAACATTGCTGCGGAAATGGGCTGAGGGTCCCCCCCCCTCTGATGATGATGATGAAAGTGATGATGATGAAAACAGTAACCCTGCATGTGCAGGGTGAGAGCTGTGATGATGAATAAACACAATGTATATATGTAAATGAAGTTGTATATTCACTTATTGACAAGATTACAAGAAGTAAAAAATACATGTGTATTCAATTCATGAAATGACAAAAAAAACACACATGGTACATATTAAAGGCACATAATATTTATTATAAAGTGGAATCATTGAATCGACACGTTAACCAGCTCTCCCATTACCACATGGAATGCGGTACGTTTCAGAGTGTCCCATTACCACATGGGATGAATAAGAGAAGTGCGGATAATATGCCGTAATATTCAATAACATGCAATACACTTGATATGAAATATTTAGTATGATATGATATAGCAAGACGGTGGATCAGGGGGACAAGTTTATTGGATCAGGGGGACAAGGGGACAAGGGGACAAGTAACGGTGGATCAGGGGGAGGTGGGTTGATTAGTGTGTATTTTTGTGGCTTCTTTTGTTGTATTGTTATATTCACTGGAATTGTATCTGGAAAAGTTACCCAACCTTGATATAAGGTCCAATACAACGTCCATGCTGCAAATTGCGTGGCATTCCATTGGACTATTGATTGGGTTCCCAATTCTTTATAACCCCACCTACTGTTTCCCTTCAACATGGACCATTCACAATCATGAATCTCTGCGCGCGCATGCTTGATGCTAACTTCATTCCTTTTCCTCCCGCTTTAAAGTTTATTTGTGCAAAAAATGGAAATTCCATCCCACTTATCTATGAAACGTGCATATTGCCAATGTATTTATTGTATTCATTTTGATTATGTGATTTATTCAAGTGTATAGACATAGAAGTGCTGGGAACGTGCTCATTTACAAAATACAGCAACTGCAGAAACTCATCAAAAGTGTGACACAAACTAAAGGTATCATTTGTATTTAATTTTTGAAAAACAATTTGGTTTTATGAAATTCTTTCCAAAATTTTACAGTTCAGACAAGGAAGACGACTGGACTGTCCACCTACACCTTTGCTGAGAAAAAAAAACATTGGCAATTATCAAGGAAAATGTACTGGACTACAAATAATGTACAAGATACGTGGGAGCATATTTTATTGCAGAC